ACTTCGAAGAACATCTTCTGCATTTATCCGAAGTAGCTACCCAATTGCGTAAGGCTGGATTAACAATAAACGTTCAGAAAAGTCAATTCTGCCTGAAAACTGTAGACTACCTTGGTTACCTGGTGGGTGAAGGTACTCTTCAAATAAATCCAAACAAAATCGCAGCCGTGAGCGAATTTCCGGTTCCGAAGACCCAAAAACAGCTCCGAAGATTTCTTGGTATGACTGGTTGGTACCAGCGGTTCATATCCAACTATTCCACAGTCATTTTCCATCTGACGGAACAACTACGTGGCAAAACACTAAGTTGGAACGATAATGCCCAAGAAGCTTTCGAAAACATCAAGGCTAAGTTATGCTCTGCTCCTTGCCTTGTTCATCCCAATTACGACAAACCATTCATTTTGCAGTGTGATGCTTCACTACATGGAGTGGGTGCAGTTCTAGCTCAATGCGACGATTCCGGTTGTGAGCGTCCCATAGCGTTCATGTCCAAAAAGCTAAACAAAGCCCAGCGTAACTATACAGTTACGGAACTCGAATGCATGGCTGTAGTGTTAGCAATTAAAAAGTTCAGAATGTACATTGACGGTCATAGCTTTAAGGTAGTAACCGATCACTCAAGTCTTCGATGGCTAATGAACCAATCGGATCTAAGCGGTAGATTGGCAAGATGGGCTATCAAGCTACAGGGTTTTTCTTTCCAAATCGAACATCGCAAAGGAACCGAAAATGTGGTGGCAGATGCTTTGACTCGATCGTTCGAAGAGATTGACATCTCTGCAATAGACCTTGAAATTTATCCCGAAATTGACCTATCATCAAGCGCTTTTCAATCGGAAGAGTACTCCGCTCTCAGAGACAAATTCAAATCTCTGAAATCACCGGATTTCAAAGTCATAGATGAGTTCATCTATCATCGTGCAACGTTCCCCAATTCTTATGACGTTTCACCAGACGATTGCTGGAAACTTTTCGTTCCTGAGTCGTTGCGTCAAAGTGTAATTAGTTCGGCTCACGACCAACCAACATCTGCTCATTGTGGAATGGCCAAATGCCTAGAGCGTATCAGACGACGTTTCTATTGGCCAAACATGGTTATCAACGTTCGTGATTACATTCGAAATTGCGAAACATGCCAGACCACAAAATATCCTACCCATTCTTTAAAACCACCAATGGGAGCACAAGTGCAAAGTGAAAGGATATTCCAAAGACTTTATCTCGATTTTATAGGGCCATTTCCGCGCTCCAATTCCGGCAATATTGGAATATTGATTATTCTTGATCACTTTTCCAAATTCACCTTTCTAAAAGCAGTGAAAAAGTTTACGGCTAAAGTGGTCATCAATATATTGCGCGATGAAATATTTTCATGCTTTGGTGTACCCGAAACAGTCGTCAGTGATAACGGAACTCAATTTAAAAGCCGTGATTTCTCTGACTTCCTTTCGAAATATGGCGTTCGTCATATGTTTACTGGTGCCTATGCTCCACAATCCAACAGTGCTGAGAGAGTCAACCGTTCAATCAATGCTGCTTTAAGAGCATATATTCGCACCGACCAACGCGAATGGGACACATTTCTCAGTAGCATCAACTGCTCTCTTCGTAACTCGATTCACCAATCCATCGGTTTATCGCCTTATCATGTTGTTTTTGGTCAACACATGATATCCCACGGTCATGACTACAAACTGCTGCGTAAACTAAACCTTCTTGCAGAAGGCGAAGTAAGCCTGACAAAAACTGACGAATTCCAAAGGATTCGTTCTAACATCGGCAAACATTTGAATAAGGCTTACGAGGCAAACCAAAAGTCTTACAATCTTCGAACAAGACCCCGTTCTTTTGAGGTTGGCCAAGAAGTAGTCAAAAGGAATTTTGTACTTAGCAACGCAGCAAAGGATTTTAATGCGAAACTCGCTCCTGTAGGTATCAAGGCCCGAGTGAAGGCAAGAATTGGACAGTCAATTTACCTCTTAGAGGACATGAACGGAAAGGAACTGGGTAGATTTCATGCCAAGGATATCTGGTGATTGCTCTTGATTCCTTTTTCAGCTTTTATTGTTAATCACAGGGACTAAAAATCAAAGCTGTGGTTGTGGGAATCGAGCCAGTGTGGCAACTCGATAAGTTTTATCGCCCACATTTTTCAAACAACCGGGCTGTTAAAGTTACGATCCTGCCAAATCGCTAATATGCGATAGGACCTAAAAAAGACCACAAAAATTCGCGAACAGGATTTTTGCAAGCCACGGTCACATTGGATCCCCTCACTTCCGTTCTCTTTCTCACAAGGCGTCCCCGAGTTCGGATTAATTTTTGTCGATCCTAAATCCGCAAGCATCGTGTCGATCCGACAGTATTTGTTAAAGCGAATCATACCCATATTAAGTAAATTTAGTGCTCTAACGTATATTGGTAAGCTTGTGTGAATAATCGATCGCCGGAGTGCTAATTTTGCCTTTTCAAAACAGCGTCAGCCGTATCGGCAGAGTCGTCCAAGCGACCGGCATTGTTTTTGCCAGCAATTGCCCACCACGTGAGGTGGCAGTCATTTGTGGCATTCATCGTTGGCATTGTCTGTGGCTTCTCAGCGGGATCAACGCCACGTGTCATCGGAGCATTCGCACGCACAGCGTGGGGCTGCGCTTCCCATTTCGGCGGCCATACACGTGCCGATTGCGGTGATCCTCGATTTGGATTTTCTTTACCGCCTCGCTAACGTGTCACCGTTCCCTCACACGGCGCGCATATTGGATCGCCGTTCCCCTCACACGGTGCACATATTGGATCACCGTGCTTTTCTTCGGCGCACCTATTGGATCGCCGTGTGTCTTTTTCGTGGCCACATCGTTCTTTGCCACATCGCCGTGCATCTTTGCCACATCGCGTGCGCTCTGCCGCATCCACACCTTGGCGGGCTGGTCTCGTTCCGCTCACGCCTCACGCAAGGGATTGCGGCCATCCCTGTCGCACATAGTGCGTGTCATCTTCATCAGCGCGAACGACGGAAGTAGCATTACATATCCGTATTGAGAGCTGGTGGCTGATCCGGCCCACACTCTGCTCCAGGAGCGGATAAACATGAATGATAGTGTCTAAAATATAATTAATTTTGCATATAGGAGCTTTTGATTTAAGAATTCGTACTTATAAACCTTTTCGGTCGTAATTTAGCAATTTTTTTTTGGGAGATTTGGCAATTATAATATCGTTTTGTCCCTCAAATAACTTAAAACACATACAGCTACACATCACCAGTCATCAGGCCTGCTGACGTCGATGGAGAAAGCGTGAGTACGGCCTAGCCGCAAAACAACAAAATAAAACTGAACCCATCCTTATAATTTCGCCAAGACTTCTGAAATAGTTTGCACATCTTAATTAATTAATTGATTCAAAAGAATATTAATAAGTTAATCTATTTAATGTAAAGTAAAAAAGGAAAAAGCGTTCTTTCTTATCTTAAATTTTATTTCCTTTCATTGGATCTAAAACAAACTGACTCAATAAGAGGTCTCGTAACGTAAATAACGTAAACTTAGGCTTAAGGATTAGATTTAGGAAAATGTCTTTCAATATTATCTCAGCCTGCAATTATATGACTTTGAAAATGAACTAATTTGATATCTTGTTGGGCACCTAAGGGGATGTAGAGCATTGGTTGTATAAGGGTGGAGCCTGAATGGACTTCACAGGTTGGGAGGGTTTAGATTGAGGCCAATAACATCGGAGCCTCATCTTCAATAGGTACACTTCCTTCGTCTGATTCATATTATTTACCATATCCCCAGCTAGAGTATCTCTGTCTACAATATTAGTTATGTAGCACCATTGTTCATGTCAACACAAAACCCACGCCCATTTTCCCTGAGCCTGCCGAGCAGAAAAAGTAGACAGAGCGTGTTGAGGTGGACAACGCTCGGTGAGTGTGTTTGTTACAATTTTAATTGAAAAATACTTAGCGAAAGTCTAGCTCTGGCTGGGGATAGACACCCAAGTGTCAAATTGCAAGGAGCACTAAGCAGTCAAGTGCAAGGTGAGAGGTTGAAGGTGTGAGGTTTAAGGTGCTAAGTGCACTCGTCCTGGTAGTCAACAAGCCCCGTTCCTGCTCGATATTAATTGCTGGCTTAAGTTGGCCTTAAGCTGGCCCACTAACCTAGTCCTGTTTTTCATCCGGGACACACTCTTCGCTCTCTCTCTCTCTCTCTGTCGCTAAGGAGAGCTACTTTCTCTCTTGGATAGTGTTTTTAATTTGGCCAGGATTAGGATATGGGTCGTGCTTAATTTTAAAACGCCTGGATTTTGGCGGGAGCCAGGAGAGGACGTGAGATCACGTCCTTTCAGCACGTCGCACGCCTTCTTATTACGCACTCGTAAAAAGAAATGGCTGCTCGGTGGCCCGGCTGACTTGTCCAACTCGTTCGGGATTATAGCCATTAACTTTGGCATTGCATATCGCTGCGTGACGTCTTTAGCGCGTGCAGTTCGGACCTGGCTGGCTCCCGGCCCGTTTGTCACTGTAATAAACTTGGCAACAAATTGCTTCGCTCCCGCTCCCGCTCCTGTCTCCTCTTTTGACGTTTAACCCTTTGCTGGCGTTTTGACACGCACGTGTCGAAAAAGACGCACACACACACAAACCGAAAAAAGCGAAAAGAAAAACCCGTGGCACATACATTTTTAAGTGATTAAAAAAGTGGTGCCAGCACCATCCCTCCGCAGACAATAAGCAAAAACATTTAAATGCGAGCAACGTGCAAAAAATAAATTGTTGTCAATGCGCGCGGACCAAAAAACGCAGCAGAGCAGCAGCCTCTTATCAGCGGGGAACGGAACGCTTTGGACTTGGCACATCAGCATCCACAGCAAGCCGAGGCCTGTGGATTCCAACCGAACTGGCCCGGACTTCGGTCCCGGCTTCGTCTGGAGCCGAGCTCTCCTTCGGCGCGACGAGGCGCCTCGTTCCGCTGCGAATTGGAGTACGAATCAGTTGGAAAACGTCTTTCGTGCGGGTCGGTTAGTGTGACGGTGTTATTATCGCGCCCAGTGGGACAGTCCTAACATGGCCCAGAAGTAAACAACAACAATAATTAAACAACACTTGACCAGAACGAGTCACTACTACTATCAAGTTCTATAGAATTGAGCCGAGTTTGAGAAGCTCTAAAAACAAGAGATACCAAAAGTCAGTGAATGATAACCCCATAAAGTCAATTCCGACGACCGATAACGCGGTCGCGGTTCTCAGTGGCAATTTGCATTGATGAACTGTGCTTGGTGCTCGCCGTGCATAACAAAAACCCATCCGCAGTCGGGGGCCCATCGATAATCAGAGCCCCAGGACTTGAGCGCTCAGCAACTGCCTGCCCTCCCGATTATCCTTTGAAGTCCTGTGGCAAGTGCGAGCTGCTGCGAGTGTGCGGTGTCTCAGTGTGCAAAGTGTGAAAAAGCGCAAAATAAATATTAAAAGCAAAACGTGCGTGGATTAGAAAGCATAACCCGGCGCAAGAGCGGCATCAGAAGCCACAACAACTACAGCTAAAGGCAGGAGAAGGAGAAGGAGGAGCAGCCACCAGGTTGGTACTGCTACATCGCATCATCCCTGGGTTCGATGCACCGTGTATATACAACTATATATACGGCTTTCAATCGGGATCGGGATCCCAGTGGCTTTGTTTTTACTTTGCTTCTCTTTCTACTTTTATTAGGGCCGCGCGCACGTTGGCGCATAATTTACGCTAACTTTTATTTTGCCAGGTTGCTCGTTGCTCCTCTCGTACCAATCCCCTTCCCTCCCCTTCCCTGGCTAGTGAACTGGAACTGGAAACTTTGGCTGTGCCAGCCGAAAACTGAAATTTGAATTTTCCTCTTAAGTGGGTCGCCGCTCGAACTTGCACCTGTTTTTGGGCCTCGAAGCGAGAGCATATGCTGGCCAACAATCGGTTGACAGTCTGTGTCCTGGTCCAGGGGACCCTCCATGTTGATTTATGACAATCGAAGACGGACCCTACAGTCGCTCAAGTAGGAGTAGTGGTAGTACCTGTAGGTGTGCACAGTTTCCGTCCAACTGGAAACTAAATAATTATGTGGCTCAGGTGGGAGGAGGAAGGCTGTACCACATTTCGGCCCTGTCTGTCGGGTTGAGTTTAACGAACATTTATGCGAGTGCGGTTGTTTATGCTCAGCTCGAGTTATGTGGCACTTAAGAGGCGTGGCAACCGCACACCCACACACACACACTAACACTCCCTTACTGCCACACACACTCACGCACTGGGGGGCTCATTTCCCAGCCGCACTCATACGCCGTGTGGCACTCAGGCGGCAGCAGCAGCAGCAGCAGCAACAACGTTTGCATATGTTCATCAAGAATGAATTAAAAGTTATTTTAAATTCGTGACACTCGCCTAATTTTGCAGGTCGACAAATGTCTGTGCACGGAAAAAAACATAAGAATAGAATTTACTTTTGATCCTAGCTTAGAAGCTTAAAATCTTGCTATTATTAAATGAGTGTCAAGATCTGCGGGAGTTTATTTCATAATATATTCTCACAAATGGTTTTATTTACTTGTTTTAGTTTATTTTTTATACTATTTTGTCACACGAAACCAGAAAGTCTTTGAATTTCTGTGGTTTCTTTGTTTTGTTTTTGCCTTCTTGGGAGAACTTTGAATTTAGTTCAGTATTTTGATTCTTCACAATTAAAATACATTTTAGAATTTTCGTCAAGCTGAAGAAAATTCTTATATTCGTTCCTTTTTTTAATTGGGAAATAACATTAATTAAAACTTTAATTGAATTGCAGTTTATATTGAATTTAAGACAATAATGGTGGGAAAATTTAAACAAGTTTCTGAAATGGATTTAGGTTACGTCTAAGGATTTAAAATGTTGAATAAATTAAAGAATTAACATGAGGGTTTTATTTTTGGGAAATTTACTTATTTTTTATTTATCTAAATCCTTTCTTCTTGTTGCTTTGTACTTTTTAGGGAAATCTTTAAAATGTTTATACTCTGTTTAAATATAAATTAGCAAAATTTGAAGCTTTGGTCTTTGTATAGGTCGGATTTCTTACCCAACAAAGTAGCCTTTGTTTGAACCTTTAGGAAAAATCTTGTTTATATTTTCCTTTTTGCGATATCCTTTTTTGCTGAGTGCTTAGCCTGCGAGTGACTGTGTGACTGTGGAAGCCGGGCTGCCAGTTGTTCTCTCCGTTGCCTTGCTACTGTGCTCCTCTGCTCAAGTGGCGGAGGTGTCACCTGGCAGACAGGTATGCTCTGCGACTATGATGCTGCCACTCACGAGCTATAATGTGCGCACACACACATACCATATTGCAGGCGTAGAGTGTGTTTATTCCCTGATAGGGGGGAGGACTAGTCCCCTAAAGGACCCGGCCTGGCAAGTGAATTAAATTTCAAATGTTTCTTAATTTACTTTTTCGGTTTCCCGTTGACAGTTCAAATTGCTATAACAAATTTTCTAGCGCTACGCATGCCACTCATTCATTCATTTCACTTTGCTCGCCGGCTCGAAGGGGGCGCGCACATGCATAAGTGAAATATTATGTACAACTGTCGGTTTTGTTTTTCCCTTCTGCGCTTTTCGCAGTTTTTCTTTGCTCTTTTTCAGCTGGTTTTTCTGTATTTCTTTTTTTTTATACATCATTCCGCCCGCTGCTTGTTGGTGGCGAAAATAAATGAAGCCATTCGAGCGCAATCAGAATTTCGCATTAAAGCGTGGCGCACACGCATTGGCAATGCGATTGTCAGATTGAGAGCACCCATCGCATATCGCACAAGTACATATATGTATGGACATAGGTGTGGGGTAATCGTGCAGGAGAAAAGTCAAAGGGGAATCGGTGAAGTCAGCTTAGAAGGCAGACTGCTGCCAGGTGGAAAAATCGAGGAAGTTGGGAGAATAAATGGTATAGCATAAATTGGATTTTTTAAAACTTTGCTTGACATTATAATAGCATCAAAATAAGTGGTAAATTATATAGTGAAACTATCATCTACATCACCGTAGAGAAATTTTATATGTATGCCTTTATTTATGGTCTAGGAAACTCCAATATTTCTGCCTTTTTCCCCATTATTTTATATTGGAATATTTTAATGATGAAACCTGAACTAAACTATTAAATATATAAAAATATTTACCATGAAATGGAATTTATTAATATGTTTGTCAGTAACATCGTATCAAATTCCAATTAAAAAGTATAACCTAAAATAATTTCAGCGAAAATATACACAAATAAATGAGAAAAAAAATCAGAATATGCAGGCCAGTTATTTTGTAAAAATATAGATGCAGTTTGCAATTTTGTAAAGGTATATTACGGCAAAAATGCAACAGAAATAATGAAACATAAAACACTTAAAACAAGCGCAAAAATATATATTTTTAGATATCACACTTTTCATTGGGAATCCTTGAATTTACTTCATTATTTTAGCTTCCCTTTTGCCGACTCCCTCAGGTCCTTGGGGGAGAGCAGAGAAAGGAATAAGAGCAAACTGCAGGGAGCACTTGAGAACTTGGCTAAATGAAAGGAAACAAGAGGCAGCCATCAGCGTCTGTTTGCTCGGTTGTCTTAACCGCCGAGCAGCGCTAAAAACCATTTACAGTTTTCAGTTAACTTGCAATGGCTGCGTGCAAAATAAATAAATACTTTGCCAACTTTCCAAAACAGCTCGCAAATTGAACTGAAGCTGGGTGCTGGCTGAATTACAACTTATTTGGCATTTGCACCTTTAACTGTGGCCCATCCGGTGGCCGGTGTTTTGTTTTCCCGCTGTGCTGGCCACCAAAAAAAAATAACCTGCCACCAAATGAAATTAGTGTCAAAACGCTGCTTCTGCAAGTGCTGCATGGCTCGTCAAATCCGTTTCCGTGGCAAATGGCAAGGACTCGATGGATAGCGACAGACAGGCGACAAGCCCGGGCCAAAGCATTGGTTCGGTCCCCGGGCTCCGGCTCCGGCTCCAGCTTTGGCTACCCAAAAGTGGGCGTAATCGCTGGCATCGTAATGGCTCTGCCAATGCTCCGGGCTGTAGCAACCAACAACCAACAACTAGCAACCGGCAACAGCTATATACACAACTACAGGCAAGATTTTGCAATGGTCTAGGCTTACACAGGAAATTATTTAAAGTTGAAGCTAAATTTGGTATTTTTGTGTCTTAAATATACATAGGTAGAAATTAGAGGAAAAATGAAAAGGGAAGGCTCGAAATGTTAGTTTTTATTGTAGATATTTAATTACAAAATATTATTTAATAACCCAAAGACAAGCGGCAAAACACGTTACCCAAAATTTTTAAAATTATAAAGCAAATTGGAAAAATTTTTATCAAATAATAAAAGCTCAATATTAAGTCGAATTGCAATCCATAAATATTTTTTTGTTCTAGAGTACATAAGGGGCTTTCCTAAAGACTCCGAAGAGTATTTCAAACTCTTCAAATTACTCTTGAAATTTCATTTTCTATTGCAAGTTGATGAAATCCTCTTCCTGTAAGCCCCCCTAAATAGCAGCAACAAATGATCTCCATTTTGTTTCGGTGTACTTTGTACCCCGGCTGTTGTTGTTTCTTGTTGCCAATGCCTTTTAAGTTGATTATGGGCCGAAAAAAAAAAAAAAAACAATATAAAGGACAGAGGAGAGCCGAGGAAAAAAGCGGCGCCGTTGTGCTGAATGAAATTGATGAAGTAGTTTCAAAAGCTGCTACTGCTGCTTCAGCTTGGAAGGGAAAAAACCCTTCCTGACCAAGGTAAATAAGCCCTGTTTTTGCCTTCTGCTCTGTAAGGATGTGTCTTAGGCCGGGGTAAACCTCAGCGGCCCAGGATTCCTCTCCAGAAATATTTATATTTTTAGAGACGGCCAGGACATGGACGCCGAATTTTTAATGAATTTTCTAGGGGCAAAATGGCAGCGAAAAGGGGCTCGTTTTCAAAAGGGGAACTCTGGCTTCGGGAAAATGGGAATCTTGGACGGTCACCCTGGCGATGTCCAGGCGCTCCTCCGTTTTCCTGCGCCCGCCCGGTTGCCCAGCAGCGGCGACTCTTCCGATCGGCAAAATCTCCGCCGCCCGGGATGACCCAGCGGCGATGGCGGGCAAAATGCAGATCGAAAGGGAAAAGGAGAGGGGAGAGGGGGAAATCTGTGAGCACGTGCCGGTGGCGATGGACTCGTAGCCCGGGAAAACCCAGCAGCCCCGATGCCCACGCCAGATCTGTGCCCGGGATAACCCAGCGGCGACAAATCCCGCTCCCGTCCCGCTTCTCCGGCCCGGAGCTTGCCCAGCGACCACGCGGAGTTGGTGCGGGATAACCCAGCCACCAGCTCGGCGAGTGAGTGAGCGGGAGGGGAACACTTTGGCACGCGTCAGGATAAGAAATTAATTTTAACAACGCGGAGTTTTAAGCGGGTGCGAGGGAGAAAGACGATGAAATTTCTGAATTCATTTTCGGTGCTTTATTACATTAATTTAATTATTGTCTACGTTCTCCTAACCTATGACTGCCGTCCCTAACCTGGCCCTACGCCACACTCCAGTAAA